CCTTGTAATTAATACATTGTCAAAAGTTCATTTAAGTGTAATGATTTCACAGGAAAAATGCTGTCTATGTAGTTTGTGCAACAATTCGTTAAAGTAAGTGCACTACATATACAATTATTGATAGATATATATTTTAAAGTTCTTATTCATTTCTACATGCTATCTAATACTCCTAAATGGATTTTTTTCATAAAAGTAAAAGATGCTAAAAGTGCTGTAACAATATATTTTTTTTTTTTGCTGAAGGAATTTTCAAGCAGCACTGCTTAGTATGGCAGCTGCAGTTGGCAAATATTTAGTTAAGAATTGTGTAATCATACTTGGCAAAGGCTTGAAAATCCAGTGAGGAATGCACAGAGAAGGATGCCTGTTTATCCACTGTAGAAAAACAAAATGCTTATCCCAGGATTTGGTGTCATACTTCAATTCTACCCAGAGCTGATTACAGGGCTGGGTTAAAGGTTACAGCTGTATGGAGTTTATAGATGGGAACAGTGTAATTCTTGATATTCAGAGCTTATTTAAAATAATTCTTCAGAAAAAAAGTATTCTGATTTTTCATGGCCAGTATCAAAATGCTGGCTTTTGTTTCATGACTTGCTTTGTTATGACTGGGAAAGCGGAGGCTGTGGAGCAGAGATGTGACCAGGAGTTCTACAGGTGGCCATGGCCAGGTTGCCTAGAAATACTGATTTGTTCTCAGTCAGCATCTACACATTATTGAATCCTTGTAAGCTGTATAGTTCAGAGAAATTTCTGTTGGTTTTATGCTGGTTGGAGGAAGGCTGATGGTGCCTGGTCTAGTACAAAATTTGTTAAGGGGCTATTATCCACTTCTGGTGATACATGTGGGTGCTAGTGATATAGATAGTGGTAGCCTGGGGAACATAAAGAAGGACTACAGAGCCCTGGGGGAGATGGTTAGGGGCTCTGGAGCTCAGATAGTCTTTTCATCAATTCTCCAGGATATAGGGGAGGACCTAAAAAAAGCTAGGAGGATTGAACAGGTTAATAAATGGTTAAAAGGGTGCTGTCATAGTCAGGGGTTTGGGTTTCTTGAACACGGGACCCAAGTTTGTAGGCCAGGTCTACTGGGGGCTGGTGGAGCTGGTCTAAAGCAGGGAAAGAGCAGTTTTGGTAGGAGGCTTGCCAGACTAGTTGTGCTGGGGGAGGGGGGCATCATTCCATTCCAACACTCCCAGTCAGTTGCCAGCACCTATAATAAATGCTCGGAGCAATGTAGAGATATCCCAGCCACTCCAGCCAATGAGCCGGCTTCATTTGGAGCTCGGCTCAGATGCCTCTATACAAATGCCCGTAGCATGGGGAACAAACAAGAGGTATTAGAGATTTGTGCACGTCTACGGGGGTATGATATAATAGGCATCACTGAAACATGGTGGGATGGCTTCTATGACTGGAGTGTTGGAATGGAAGGTTACAGGCTCTTTGGAAAAGACAGGCCTGGCAGGCGGGGAGTGGAAGTTGCCCTTTATGTTAGGGATAGGCTGGAGAGTATGGAACTCTGTCTGGGGACAGGTGAGCAGTCCACAGAGAGTTTGTGGGTCAGGGTTAAAGGGAATATAGCTATGGGAGACATTACTGTGGGTATCTGTTACAGGCCGCCTGATCAAGGAGACCCTGTGGATGAAGCACTCCATAGACAGGTAGGAAAAAACTCAGGCTCACAGGCCCTTGTTCTCATGGGTGACTTCAACCACCCTGACATCTGTTGGAAGGACGGTATGGCCTGGCACAAGAAATCCAGGAGGTTCCTCGATTGTGTGGAAGACAACTTCCTTCTGCAAGTAATAGAGGAGCCAACAAAGAGAGGTGCCATGCTTGACCTCATGCTCACCAACAGGGGAGGGCTCGTTGGAAATGTGATGCTCCAGGGCAGCCTTGGATGCAGCGATCACGAGATGGTCGAATTTGAGATCCTCAGGACAGTGAGAAGAGCGTGCAGCAAGCTCATGGCCCTGGACTTCAAAAGAGCAGACTTTGGCCTCTTCAGGAACCTGCTTAGTAAGGTTCCATGGGATACAGCCCTAGAGGGCAGGGGAGCCCAAGACTCTTGGTTGATATTGAAGGATCACCTGCTACAAGCTCAGGAGTGTTGCATCCCAATTAGTAGGAAATGCAGCAGGAGGGCCAGGAGACCTCCTTGGATGGATAAGGAGCTCCTGAGGAAAATTCCAATGAAAAAAGAGTCTTATAATAAGTGGAAGCAAGGACAGGTGGCCTAGGAAGAGTACAGGGATGTTGTCCGGGAAGCTAGGGACCAGGTTAGGAAAGCTAAGGCCCAGTTAGAATTAAACTTGGCTAGGGGTATTAAGGATAACAGGAAGGGATTCTACAGGTACATAGCAAATAAAAAACAGGCTAGGGAGAATGTAGGCCCCCTCAGGAAGCTCTCGGAAGAACTGGCTACACAGGATTTGGAGAAGGCTGAGGTTCTGAATGACTTCTTTGCCTCAGTCTTCACTGGCAAAGGCTCTGACCAAGTCTTGGAAGGCAGACGCAGGGACTGTGAGAATAAAGACCTTGCACCCACTGTAGGAGAGGATCTGGTTCGAGACCATCTTAAAAATCTGAATGTGCACAAGTCCATGGGTCCTGATGAGATCCATCTGCGGGTCCTGAAGGAGCTGGCGAATGAAGTTGCAAAGCTGCTGGCCATCATATTTGAAAAATCATGTCAGTCAGGTGAAGTTCCCAATGACTGGAAAAAGGGAAATATAACTCCCATTTTCAAGAAGGGGAAAATGGATGACCCGGGGAATTACAGACCTGTCAGTCTCACCTCTGTGCCTGGCAAAATCTTGGAGCAGATTCTCCTAGATGGCGTGCTAAGGCACATGAAAAACAACAAGGTGCTTGGTGACAGCCAGCATGGCTTCACTAAGGGGAAATCCTGCCTGACCAATTAGGTGGCCTTCTATGATGGGGCTACAGAACTGAGGGACAGGGGTAAAGCAGTTGATGTCATCGACCTAGACTTGTGTAAAGCATTCGACACTGTCCCACATGACATCCTTGCCTCTAAATTGGAGGGACATCAATTTGATGGATGGACCACTCAGTGGATAAAGAACTGGCTGGATGGCTGCATGCAAAGAGTTGTGGTCAATGGCTCAATGTCCAGCGGGAGACCAGTAATGAGAGGTGTCCCTCAGGGATCGGTGTTGGGACCAGTCTTGTTCAACATCTTCATCGCTGACATGGACAGAGGGATTGAGTGCACCCTCAGCAAGTTTGCTGATGACACCAAGCTGTGTGGTTTGGTTGATACGCTGGAGGGAAGGAATGCCATTCAGAGGGACCTTGACATGCTTGTGAGGTGGGCTGATGCCAACCTCATGAAGTTTAACCGTGCCAAGTACAAGGTCCTACACGTGGGTCGGAGCAATCCCAGGCACAGCTACAGGTTGGGCAGAGAAGAGATTCAGAGCAGCCCTGCGGAGAAGGACTTGGGGGTGTTGGTTGATGAGAAAACGAACATGAGCCAGCTTCAGTGTGCGCTTGCAGCCCAGAAAGCCAACCGTATCCTGGGCTGCATCAAAAGGAGTGTGACCAGCAGGTTGAAGGAGGTGATCCTGCCCCTTGACTCTGCTCTTGTGAGACCTCACCTGGAGTATTGTGTGCAGTTCTGGTGTCCTCAACATAAGAAGGACATGGAACTGTTGGAACAAGTCCAGAGAAGGGCCACGAGGATGATCAGGGGCCTGGAGCACCTCCCGTATGAAGACAGGCTGAGGAAGTTGGGGCTGTTCAGCCTGGAGAAGAGAAGGCTACGTGGAGACTTCATAGCAGCCTTCCAGTATCTGAAGGGGGCCTTAGGGATCCTGGGGAGGGACTTTTTATTAGGGACTGTAGTGAAAGGACAAGGGAAGTTTAGATTGGATATAAGGAGGAATTTCTTTCCTGTTAGGGTGGTGAGGCACTGGAATAGGTTGCCCAGGGAGGTTGTGAATGCTCCATCCCTGGCAGTGTTCAAGACCAGGTTGGATGAGGCCTTGGGTGATGTGATTTAGTGTGAGGTGTCCCTGCCCATGGCAAGGGGGTTGAAACTAGATGATCTTAAGGTCCTTTCCAACCCTAACCATTCTATGATTCTATGATTCTATGACCCCTTGCCACATTTGAACCGTTTTCAAGTGGCAGAATGATATTTTACCGGATTAGGACTTTTTGCTGTATAGTCATGACGCTTCTCATTTGGCACTACAGCTCCTTAAGTCTCTGTATTATATTCTTGAAACCTGATCAGAGATTATTTTTTCACTTGATCAGGCATACGGAAAACCAAATCATATCTGACATCTGTCAGATGTCCAGTATATAACTCATCAAATACTGCATTTCAATCCTAAAAGTTATATTTGCTCAAGTGAGATATAAATGTTGCTTAACTTCAGAAACAGGTCATGAAACACTTACGACATCTTGCAATTAAGCTACAAGATTCATTGACAAGCATCATTCAAGTAGTACCATTTAGATGGTTACAAGAAACCATAAAAATGTTGTGATATTGTAGGGAAATTGGATCCAATGGGTCTATATTATATCTTGGCACTGAGACATTGTATGCAGTAAGAATAAAGCAATGCTGCTCATAAACAGAGGAACATTAATTATATGCATTAATTTTATGTAACATCACACTTGTGGAAAACATAAGCAAGTTCATATATTGTAAATGTCATTTTTTTCCTAAAGAAATTTTCCATTATTATTTTATAATGATAAAATAAGGTGTACTGATGTATTTCCAAAATAATTTTATATTTATTTTTACGTTTTTCAATATTATCGAGTCAATAAAGATGATATCAGTAAATCTATGAACTATAATGAATATTATTTACATTTTTATTGTAGCACTAACTTCACATCATTCCCTTCAAGTGTATATTTGAAAAATGTGCATATCATTTCTTTTTAGCAAAACTACCCAAAACATCTCAATCACTGTTGTAATGAAATTTTTATTGCAGTGTTTGAAAATATTTACATCAGCAAGAAAAAATGTTCATCAAATGAGGCCTTATTCTGGGACAACAGGGAAAATGGAGTAATGTAAGTGAAATATTACATGGTCAGAACTGGCTCTTGACTCAATAGCCTTTTTCCAGAAAATGATAGTATTAATATAGTAAGATGAATACCTCAGCATAAAGAGAAATTCCAGAACTTGTTGTGTAGCACAGTATCAGTAGACAAATCCCTTTCTCTTGAATGTTGTACTTCAGGTTTGTTATGAGTATATTAAATGGGATTGACAGTGGTTCTCTGATTGTACTCCAAAGACACAGTCATCTAGATGTTTTAAGAACAGTCAGAATCTGTCAACTGTGTCTTCAGAAGGTTTTAACTAAATTTCTCATGACTCGAGTGTTTTGTCATCTGAGAGAGGCTTTGAGAGTAGACAACAGTCAGCTGGCATAACAGTTTTGGAATTTGATGGTCCAAAGCAATAAATGCAATGATTGTGTATTGGAACCCAGGAGAGAAAAGGTGTTTCTGGCAGGGAGGACTGAAAGGTCTTAGCCATCTCTAAACTGGTGTCTCTTCATTTGGAAGTGTTAACGGCATAACTGATGGAATCTGTCTAAGGCAGCCATCTGGTAAACATGAGAATATAATGCACCATATTCCATTCCCAATAACATTTTAAACTGTTTGCAATCTCAATAAACTTTTAACTTTTAAAACAATTGCACAAAGGTCAGTTCCTTGCTTCTGTTGGAGGGAATATTCAATTTGCATAGTGTCTGTGTAGTTCCATTTCCAAAAGCCACAAAGTTGACAGCCAAAAATAAAGAAGCAGGCCAAGAGTATCAAAAACTCATGAAAACAGCCTCTACCTGCTGTTTTTCATTTCAGTTTTATTCATTTTACCACTACAGCTTGGTGTTGGGCTTATGGATTAGACCACTGGGGACTACAAGGTGTGGACATCACTTTATTTTTGCCACAGGAGGAAATGGCGGGTGTTCTTGTTCAAACTTTGGTGTTGCAAGTGTGCAGAAGTGCCTCCAACCAGTAACTGCCCCAAGTTGTAAGCAAATATGCAACTTTACAGATGCACCAGGCATCTGCATTGAATGGACACTTTGCAACTATGTAGTTCCTCCTGCCTTCCAGAGAGAAATGTACTGAGTTTTACCTGCTGCCATCTCTGTTGTACTGCTACCATAAATCATGCTACTCAGACAGGTTAGCAACAGATAGTTGCCCTATTCCTTTCCATATAGTCCATCATGTTTTTGTCTGGATGTTTTGGCAACGAGCCATCTCTTTTAGGATGGTACCCCATTATTATAATGCCAGATACTTGTATGTCAAGGCATTGATATATGTCATTAACACAATAGAAATAAATTCAAATTCGTAAGTTGTATTTCACACACTGAGTTTTATCTTGACCTCCTAAGGTGAGAGGCAGATGTTTTCCATTGGCAATGCTTTGGTTATTTGTTTATTTTTGTAAAATGCACATCTGAAGCCCACCTATATAAAACTGGAATATGGGCTGCATTTTAAGTGAAACTAGGGAAAAATATGCAGATTTTGAGAGATGAGGAGGAAAAAAAGCCTGAAACAAGCACCAGGATATGTGAGTGAGTAAGCATACTAGATCAGAATAAGGCCCTAAATCAATTTAATTTTCACAGTTCTAGCATAATAAAAAGTTGGTGGCAGTAAACCAATTATTATGCAACTTAATGAACTAATTAGGAAAATCAGAGCAATAATGGTACTGGTACTGACTGATCTGAATATAAAAAGTAGCATTAAGTTCTCAGTATTGAATTTTTCAACACAAAGGATTATATAATAATTTTTAAAGCATTTTGAACTTGAGGTGAAGGAGGACTGCATCTGTAGTTGCTGTGGGTACGCAAATGATCTGCTATCTATCTCATGTACTGAACTGCGTAAGCACACTTGTGTACTGGTTAAGAATTTAAAAAAAAAACAAAACAAAAAAACTAATCAGGAAAAAATCAGCAAACCCCAAGAAGTAAGGACAAGATAATGACAAGCCTCATTTGAATTTGTGTGCTGCTAAATACGGTTGAAATACTATATCTGTGGTCAGTAGGTACTTAAATACCTTGAGCACACGGCTTAGGCGGCTGATCCCACAGACTGGTGACATGAAACCTTGCACACTGGTGTTGCTGTATAAACCCAAACACTGCTTGGTTTAAGCTTTTGTATGAGTGGGATTTACACCAAAATGAATACACAAGAATAGAAGAAAGTAATCACAAAAGCACAGCTTCTTTTCCATAACATTAGTATCATAGAACATGCTATGTTTTAAACTATTTAAAGAACCTCACATAATATTGTACATGTTGACAGAAATTATACTTATGTTGCTATCAGACCTGTATTTCTCATTATGCAGCTGAGATGATGTATGAGTGTTTCAAGGCATTCAATAGTTTGTTGATTTTCTTTCTTTACAACATTTTTGCCTTTACATATGTTGATAATATGATGTGTGATTATGGGCCTAAACCTTTTCTCTTTAACATCAGTGACAAGGTTCTTTGCCTTTGGTGCTGAAATTGAAATGAACCCTCATAAATTTCTCCATCATTTCCTTACTATTGTGAAATGTACTATAGTGCTTTCATTGCTTTATAATATATTTCTTTATCATACAATTATAAAATAGAGTTTCTTTACTAGTTTTCACACGATTCCACAAATGCTTCATATGTATTTGGCAAATTTAACAGCTATAATATTTGCACATGGCACATGTTTGCATTTTAATGGTCTTTATGATATTTGGATATGGAATTTTTGCTTGAGAATGAGCATTGCTTCAAAGATCAAGTCCTACATGTGTCAGGGCAGTTTCTGACTTGAAATACAAGCCTTGCATTCTCAAAAGGAGAATTCTCATGTGTGCATACCCAGAGACAGGACTTGAGTATATCAGTATCTGGAGAATTGTGCTGTTTCAGATAGTGTATTTTTTTCCAGGAAGGTAGCTGTTTGGTCCACAAGTGTTTCATTGCAACACAAAGGTGAAAGTAATTCCTTAAATAGCTTCCTGGAAAAACACAAGTAAGAAGAAAAACAATTTCTGCTTTCCATGATAAAAAACAATCGATGTGAATAGTTTTGTTTATTTTCCTGGTCAAAAAGTCACTGTCAGTGTATATTTAAAACAAATGGGGAGATGGGAGGGGCAAATGGCCTTAAAGCAAATGTATCACATACAATACTTTTTTAAAAAGAGAAGGAACCCAGGCCAGCATGTTAAAAATGAACATTTCCAATACAATTTGTCACCCATGCATAAATCTTGCTGACATTTTCAGTCAGTTTAATAGCCTTCCCATTTTATAAATCAGTATGAACTTGCACAGTTGCAAAAAGTGTGTGTTTTGAACATTTCATTTGCATACTTTACCAAAAGCCAATGAGGCAGTGGAAGCAACACTGGTGATCATAATAAGTGTTTGGGAAAAGGCAGAAAGATCACTAATGGTTTGCCTTTAGGGATTTCTGTACTCCATAGGGGACGAAAATGAGAAATATTTTTCAAACAGCAGGGGTAAAGGTTTTAAAACTAGAAACACATGGAGTGATAAAAATGTTAGTGCCACAGGGCGCATAGCAGGAAAAATTTACAATGTAAAAACTGTAATTTCAGCATTAGGAAGTAATAATCGTGTTTCATCATTGTTATTAAAGCATGACCCTTAAAGTCACATAAATTAGATATAACTTTCTAGAGAAGTGTATTAATCTTCAATGGAAAATATTAGGAAAGTTTATTATCATATAAAGATCAGAAGAAACTGTTTTTTATTAAAAAATATTAAGTTTGGTAGTGTTGTGGTTTTTTTTTTGGGGGGGAGAAAGAAATCTCTAGCATTTTGAAACAGCAGATAGACTTCTGTTTACTCAGTGCAAAATGCAGTGACCAGCTTTGCTTTCAAAACCAATAATAGTTACATGAGATGAAACAAACATGCAAAAATTAAAGAATGATCTCAGCAAATCTTGGAAGTTCTATTCATAGGCATTAATGACTTATATTAAGGTCAACCTAGTATTTCTATTGTGTTGATGTCAAATGCATCCAAATGATTAATGAAGACTGTTAGAGTCATCAGAAAAAAAATATTTAAGTAAAATTGTAACCTGAGGTACCACAAGAATATCCACTGGGAGGCTTGAAATAGAACCAGTTATCTGAGGTATGTAATTAATGACTGAGGGATAGTTTCCATCCTACCTGTAGAGTCCAATTTTATGAGGGCTTCCATCTCTCCTAGATTAGGCAATGAAAAAGTGGTACAATGTGATGGCAGTGGACTTGCTGGGAGAAGCACCTGCTGCTGGGGACAATACCATACCACACTGTACCACTAGAATGAACTCATTCAGAATGAATATGACTTCTGTTGCCATCCTGCCTCCAAAATCCTACAGTTTCCTGAAATAAAGGGCTCAGGGTATGGTTTCAGCACCTTTTGCTATAGCCCACAGGAGCTTCGTAGGTGACAACTAGAATAAGAGCCTGATCTTCACATTCCTGTTTTCATAGTTTTAGCTTGAAGTTTCCCTTTTCAATTTCAATTTAAAAAAAAATAATTACTAGCATTTTGAAATGGTACACTGCATAAAAGAGAACTCAGGTGAACCTGACAGACTGCATATACTTTTAATTTTTTTGAGGTAAAGAAGGGATAGCACTATGTTATTGGTATCTCTTGACTTCCTGCAAGACAAACAAGATTTGACCTGCTAGGGTTTACAATGCTTGAATGCATCTTGTGTCAGAGTACTGAGGATGTGCCTCCTAGAGTATGATTTTGGTAGTTCTCTGTTGCTCAGTCACCAGAGTGAAACCATTGATAACAGAATACATTGATAACAGTACTGTTATCAATACATCAATAATAGTACAGAAAAAACCCTTTACCCACCCTGCCACATTGAGTGCTCTCACCCTTAAGATGCAAAGCTTGACTTCCTCTTGTGTACTCTACTTCTTGCACTGTCAGTTTACTTTTTCTTTATCCACATTTCTTCATTTGCAAGGGGGAGAGGTCCATAGTTCATTTGGAAGAGTAGACAACCCCTTCCCAACTTAATCTGTAGCTTGACTTTGTGCATAGTCTCCAGAGAAGCAATAAACTTGTTCCCAAGTGCTCCAAACACAGAAATACTATGCATAAGGAGGGCATCATTACTGTCTTTCCTTCCAGCTGTGTTCTTATGTGAAAATGGTTGTCACTGCTGTTTTTTTCTGTCCCTTTCTGCCAGTCCCTCAGGCAGTTTATGAAGCTCATGCATAGTGAAAGATTAGACATCGTACTTCTCTGTGCCATTGGAACTAACAAGGTAAATGTACCCAAATGTGACTTTTATTTTTTTTTTCCAAGATGCTTTTCCTATTTGCATTAGACACAATTTAAGATTTCTGTCACTAGCCTCGGTGGCAAAACTTGTCATTTTCCAAAGCAGAGAATTTCAAATTTTTTTCACTTTGTAAAAAATTGCCAGTTTTCTAATCCAGAAAGTTCATATTATGAGTCAACATGCGCACTGCAGTAGACACAATGGAAAGAGACTTCATCATTTTCTAACAGAAAATGAAAAGATATTAGATATTTGTCAGTTTAAAATGGTGCAGCCAAAGTAAGATAATGACATAAAGAAAGTAGTGAATAAGTGGTGAATTTGTTGGCTTTATAGCTTTATGGTGTATTTCGTGAAAATTCTGCTGTTTTCAGATATTCTTTTACCATGAAGAAAAGTAATAGCTTTCATAAGGTGAAATGAATAGAACTAATGACTTGCTTCTCAGTATTATTAGCCATCTGCTTTATGTTGGTCTACATTGATTTAGAAAAGAATTTGACAAGTGTTGAGCAGTCTATACAATGTTAGACACTAAAGCTTTCAATTTCCAAA